AATCTCAAGCTCAGCAGACAGAATTGAAAAGGTGTTTATTGGGTATGAGGAAGCGCATATCAGCAGCAAACACACAGGGAACAACTTGAAAACCCTGTCTCTCCCCACCTGCCCCGGGCTTTTAAAGCCTCTCAAGAGTCTTCCACCCCACATTTAGGGTTGGTCAGTTTGAACCATCAGTAGGATGGTTCACTGCCCAGAACTGTTTTGTGACATGTTTTGAGCAGGCCTTGAACTTGTTGATCCACTTCATCAGCAGTCAGTCTGCAAGTGGGAGACAGAAGTCTATAAGGCCTTTGTTTTAAGAGGCCAGGCTTTTGTCTCAAGTCAGGAGAGTGAGGAAGAAGAGGGAATCTTGGAAATTTGTTATCTTCGCTACCTAGCCATGACTTCTTTCCCTATCTGTCTGCCTGCCAAAGAGTTTGTTAGACTAGTCTTTCCATAGAGTGCAGTGAGAAGCATTTATACCAAATGACCTGGGATTCATGGACACTCTTAGGGGTTCTTTCCATTTGTGCCCCATTTGTCAATGTTAGCAAGTACCTCAGGGCTAGTGTCTGAAGTTTCAGCTCTCAGTCTGGCTTCCTGAACTCCCCCGACATTGCATCCCACTAAACTCAGACAAGAATAAACTAGTTAGTGATTAAAGAGAATAAATGACTGGAAATGATTGTGTAACTTCCTACACAGGAGTCTCAAGGAGAGAAACAAATAACCTCATGAAACTCTAAGTAGGAAAAGGCCTGACCAGAAGACAAGCTTATTGTCAGTCCCAGAGGAATCACCAGTTCCCCAAACTCCAAAAGGTAGTATGTGTGTCCAGAAATGACAGTCTTGGCTCAGGTCCACAGCACTATAGGATTGTTGGAGGATACTGTCAGCATTCCTCAGAAATGCATGACAGGGTTTCTGTCCACCAGAAAGAGGTAATTACCTATCTCCCCTTCCACTGGACAATCAGGTATCTGGATCTTGGTTGACATGTAACTATGGTGCAAACCGAAGCCCATGCTAGCTCCAGGGTCTTTTAGTTTCTATTCACACACACTTGTTTTGCATTTCAAGGTGAATGCCAGCCTCCTCCGGCCCTTCTCACCCACCCCCCTCTCTCCACTGGCTACCTCCCAGGCTGTTGCAGTTCACACGCTTCTCTTTTCCCTGTAACTGTCCTGTATAGGAGGGCAAAGTTGTCCCTTAACCCAAGCCCAAGTGTGCTATTTCCACTATTCTCTCTTGCTCTTCTCCACTATTCCTGCTTGTCTAGCCTTGGCCATGTCCAGTCTGCTTCTGTTTCTCTCTGTTCTGGACTTTTCCAGGTACCTCTGGTCGTTGTCTGTCTCTGTCTCTGTGTCTGTCTCTGTCTCTCTCTCTCCTACAATAAAAACCTTCCCCTACTCATGGAGCAGTCATTTCAATGGTTTCTCTACTGTGTCCTTAGTTACAGCAAAATAGTAGTAATCAAGGATAGAGACTGCAGGTGGGTCACGTGTCCTGGCTTGCTTTTTCCTTGGAAGTATGAGATGTTTCCTCTGAATGTCAGTTTCTTCATACATAAAAATGGGAATGGCCATAATTACCTTCAAAAATGTGAAATCTGGTGCATATAGAATGAGCTGTGTAGAGATGTGTGAATGAGAAGTTAGTTATATAAGTTAATACGTAGAAAGAGGAATATTAGAGAGCTGTGCCCAACTGCTTCACCTTGTGAAAAGCAGTGGCATCCCTGAATCCTGGAATGGAAATGGAAGTGCTTCTGATTCTAGCCTGGTAAGGAAGGGTTCCCTAGCCCTCACTTGGGTGGCAGGAGCATGGTGCTAGTGGAGTTGAACTGCTCTGCTTGATTTGTCTCTGGCCCTTTAAGCACAGCCTGCCCCATTCATGTAGGTCCGTTGAGCCATAAAGAAGGGCTATAAACAGGAGCTGTTCTACTTCCTTCTCCTGGCATCTACTCAGGTTTTATTTACCTTCCTCTCGCTCCAAAAACTAGGCCAGAGACTGATCTCCTGCAGCTCCTCCTGGTGGTGTTATTAATTAAAAAGAAGAAGCAGGAGGCAACCAATATTCTCTGTGAGAGATTTATTAGGAGAGTATGGAGGAAGGGGGTAGCAGGACATAGTGGGGAGAGAGAAAGAAAAGGGAAGGGGAAGGGGGCACCCTGAGAGAGAAAAAGAGAAAGTAAGAGAGAGAAAATAAGAGTGTAAGAGAGAGAAAATAAGAGAGGGACTACGTGTCGGTATGGCCCTTTTAAGGGGCACGATAACCACGCCTTCCAAGTGTGGCCACCTGGCTGGCAACTCATGAGGACCACATAGGTTTCTGGGTAACCCAGGAGCAGGTTGTGTTCCAAAATACTAAGAGGTAGACCTCAGGTTCCTCTAAAATACCTCTACTCTACTTCTGGAAGCTTCCCTAGCTCCATAATCTTACTGCAGAGGCCCATTCCCTACTAGTCCCCCCTTCGACTAAGATGGGCAGCCAGATAAAGAGAATCAGAGCAATTCAGAGGAGGGAGAGGTTTCAGCAAGGGGTGGCAGGAAGCTCCTGGAGAGACAGGTCCAATCTTCCAGGTCAGATCTATAGGAATAAACAGTCTTGTGGAATCTTAGAGCTTAAAGCAGGCATTACAAATTATGGTTGAAGGCCAAATGCAGCTTCCTATTTATGTGAAAATTTTTGCTGGAATGTAGACTAGCCAGTGGTTTGTATACCTTCTCTGGCTAGAGGTGGAGCTGAGTGGTAACCCCAGAAGCTTCTGAGTTTCCTAATCTAAGATATTTGCTGTGTGGCTCTTGGAGGAAAAGGTGGCCATGTCTTGGTTGCTCTAAGGAATGATTTAAGGAGATCCACTTAAAGAAGATTGATTTGCCAAGCCCAGAGCATATCATGTTTCTACTCTCAGGTACTCACTGTTTTCCTTTGGCTAGTGAATACTTTGAGAACATAAGAAGAAGAATATACGAATCTGTTGATTAACCTAGAATTTCCCAAACATCTTTGAGCTACAACTTAATTTTCTCTGACTACCTTTTAATATCCCAAGAAGCTATGGAAATTATTATTATTATTATCATTATTCCTTGTAAAGACCAATTGGTTTGGCAGACCATCTAATAAACTATCAATAAACTAAGTGGTCTTGGCTGAATTATGTACTTGTCAAGAACTGCTTGTTCATTGATGGAATGAGGGTAGTAGTGGCTCTCTTACCGGTTTCTCAGACAGGCTGAGATAGTAAGCAGAAAATAGTCTGCATGGTTGTGGTGTGATGCATTTTGTCAAGCTTTTCTTTGCTAACGCAGTGGTGATATGGAAAGAAACTAGGCCAAAGTTATGTTCTCTCTAGTCTTCATGCTGATTTTACTAGTTTGGTTACCTGAGTGACTTCAAACAAGTGACTTCTTTTACTGGGCCTCAGCTTCCTTCTATATCAGTGGTGCTCAACCTTCTCTTAATGCTGAGACCCTTTAATACAGTTCCTCATGTAGTGGTGACTCCTGAAACATAAAATTATTTTCATTGCTACTTCTTAATTGTAATTTTGCTACTGTTATGAATTATAATGTAAATATCTGATAGGCAGGATATATGATGTGAGACCCTTATGAAAGTACCATTTGACAGCCCCAAAGGGGTCATGACCCACAGGTTGTGAATGAGTGTTCTAGATTAAGTATCTATAGCTCGGAACTTCTGTGTTTCCACCTGGGTAGATGCATTCAACCTTCCCACTTATCTAAGACAAGTCTCTCATGAGCCCCGAGGATATTGCTCTTGGTTTTCTTGGTACAGTATCTGGGCTCATGATCAGATATGAAGAGGTGTTTCTAAGGGACTTTGATGCCACTGACAGCTTAGAAGGCAAGACCAAGCCTTCTGGAATGTCAATGTTACAGCTCTTAAATGGTGTTGAGACTTTTCCTTCCCTGCATCTTCTGTTGCTCAGTGCATTTACTGCCCAACTATGAAAAATAGACCACTTGCTAACACATCTGGCAAAGAAAAAGAACAGATATAATTCCTTAAAAGATGGTAGGGTCAAAATGTGAGCAAGATTTCCCCAACAGATATGCTTTTTATACAGAATCCACATAAAATTCCTTTCATTTGTCCCCCTCTCTTTTTCTTTCCCAAACTATTTCCAGCCTTGTCCACAACCTTTGATATCAAAGATTTGTAAGCAGTGGAACAAGAGGAGACAAATAATGAAAAGTAATGAAAAGTACCCTTTTCTTTCACCATTTTGGAAAATCCCAGAAAATCTTGACCTGGCCAAAAGACCTACAGTGTAATGAGGACAGGGTCAAATGGGGGAGATATGACTTGAGGAGGAGTGTTCTTTCCTCCTGTCTCACATAGAAACTATCCACTGACATGGTTATCTAGTGAACTCTCAAACAAAAGAGAGGGGGCCTTGGCAGTCAGACCTCTTGCCCAAGTGGACCCCAGTGTCCACTAAGTTCATGCCATCCCCAGCTAAACAGTCATGGGTGTTTAATTTGCTGGAATCCCACTGGAGGTGTAAAGAAATGGATAAAGCATAGTTACTGTCCTTAAGGAATTATGGTTGTGCTTGCTCAGGTGAGCATGGTATGTGAGAATGCTGTTGCGTGTAAGCCGCAGGCTTAGTACTAACAACCATAGGGAAGGAGCGGTACCCAGAGAGGCAGCAGTGACAGCATGGAGGGTCTCATTTTCTGTATCCACCCCCAGCCCTGAAAGAAAAACTTGTAAGGGGCAGCAGACTAGGCAGCTGAAAGACAGCTAGACCACAAGTCCTTTCTTGAAGCTTTCTTTGAGTCATTGTACTATCACCTCTGGCTGAAGAGAATGCCTGACAGCTGAGGCCTAAGCTGAAAGGCATCTCCATCACCAGGTGGAGGCTGAACTCAGTAGCTAATCTTCACGTGGGTGAAGGAGAATAAGAAAAGGATGAAGAAGCCATGGTGCTATTTGGTGTTGGTCGTCCTTCAATGGTGACTGAGCTGTTTCTCTGTCCATCCTTAGGGTCCTTGGTCCTTCTCGAGGACAGTCAGGCTGGCTTGGGTAGGAGGAAGATCATCCTGACACAAGGTCTTTCCCACATCAGGGAGCTTGTCTGGTAGAAAATGTGTCATTTGAATAAGAGTGATCCTTGGTACCCTTTCTGCATCCTGAGCTGCAGAGACATAAAAAGTGATGAGTATTCTGGGGTGGACATACTCATTTGCCCTCCTAAAAACCTGAGGCAAATCTCTGAGAATTTCCCAAGACAGAAGTCTAGCACCTGGCCCTTAGAACAATAATGATTGATCCAGATGATTTGATCCCTGGCCCTGAGAACCCTGACCTCTCTCAAGGGCTCCCAGAAGCCTTAATCTCTTTTTACCAAGGCTGCACCCCATGGAGCACTAATACAGGGGGAGATCTGCTTCCCTAGGATGTCACTATGAGAATAAGGAAGGCTGTACATGTAGCATTTGGCCCCAGTGCTTATCTGTTATTCTGTGCCAGGGTTGCCAGTGTGGTTCTATGCTTATGGTTAGTAGTTCTTGTCATCCTCCAGATCCTCTTAAGCCAGCAGATGCCTCTGAGGCAAAAAGTGTAGCAAGAGTTTTAAGAAGCCACAAGCAAGCTCAGTTAAAGGATTCAGAATAGAACTTACTTTTTCTACATCCCAAAGTGGGTCCACTAATCTAACCTGACTCAGCCCTGCGGTTATCAGGTGGAAAGACCCATTCTTTTTCCTAGATTTGGGGTAACTTAAACTCAACTCACAGGTCCTTTCTCTCCAGAGTCTCCTTTTCAATAGGACCAGAGCTGCAAGCAGAACCAGGGCCAGCGCAGTCAAGATTGGAGTCAGAATCCAGGAGTTGCTTTCTTCTTCTGTAAAGGCACTGTGGGGAGTGGGAAGTTGAGGATGAACTGAGCACAGGATCAGGGAGGTAAGAACTAGCCCTAGACAGGCTGTCAAGACTGATAGCTCACCCCTCTCATTTCACAGACAGACAAGCTGAGTTCCAGACTAACTGGCCACCTTTGTTCCTGTAGCTGGCTCCCAGCAAAACTGCTTTCCTCAGCTCCTTAAACACCAATCCTTTGCTTCACTCCACCCGCCTGGGCATGGGCTAAAATGTGCCATATTGAAAAAGAGGATGAGTGAGAGCCAGGAAGTTGGCCTTGGCATCTGGCTCTGTCACAACTTGCTTTTAGCAAGTTATATCCTTTCTCTGGAGTTCTGCTCCCTACATTCAATAGAAAGTCCCAAGGGTTCCAGCGTAAAAGTTAATTAATTGTATCATTTTGGATGTTTGCTTGCAAACCACTGGAAAATATTCAGATAGCATTATCACAGCGTGGGCTCTGAGATGTGGAGGATGTTAACTGATGCTCATATACCCCATCCTACCATTTACTAATCTGTAGATACAATAAATAAATAAATAGATAAATAAATAAATAAATAAATAAATAAATAAATAAATAAATAAATAAATAAATAAGATCAGCAGAAAAAAAGGGCTGGCCAGGAAATAGGGCAGACTTGGGGCCCCAAGTCAGAAGAGAGGCCCAAGGCTTACCTCTTCATGGATGACCCCTTGCCAGGGACCCACATAGAGCCTACTGCTGAAAGTTGGCTTTCTGTTGAGGGGCTACGCTCTTCAGCAGTATTTTCTGGTCCCCCACCAGTGCTCGCTCCCCAAGATTCCACTTCCATATGTGTAGTGTTCAAGGTCCAGGAGCTTGGAGCTGGGGATGGCTCCATCATGGAGTACAGCGTTTGTTGCTTAGAAGCCTCTCTATGTTTTTGGAGAGTTTCCCAGGTCACAGGTTCTGAGAGCAGGACTGATGGCCTTGTGGTTCCTGTGGTCGTCCTGGGTTTGTTTAGAGATGCACCGACCCCTGTTTCCCCCTGGAGCCCGTCAGCCTCTGGGGTTGTGCCTTTCCTTATACCCTCACTGCTAGTGCTAGTCATCACTGAGTTTCTGGAGTCCCATATCCAAACACCCTGTGTTGTGCTGAACATGCGTCTTGATTTGGGAGCGGGACTCTCTGGAGTAGGGCCTGTTACCTTGACAGAGCCTTCCTCTCTGCTGCTTGTTTCTGAAACCGTTGTCCTGGCTCTTCTTGGGGTTTGTCCTCCACTGGCTGAATGTGTAGTTTTGATTATACCTGTAGTTGGAGCTGTCCTGTCCCGTTTTGAGCCTCGGCCTGCTGGAATCTGGGTGACTCCTGAGGTCCACCTATTGGCTACTGTAGATGCTATTCTAGGAGATGCTGTGATGGGCTCACCAGAAGCTGGAGCTGCAGCATAGGTGCTGTTTGAAGGACCTGTGTGGACACACACACAGAGAGGGCATGTTGGAAGGCTCTCTAGATTACCTACTGGATTTAGCAAAGGACATTTGATCAAAAAGCTTTTTAAGTAGGATGCACCTCACTAAGAGATGTGATGTCTGCCAGTAAGTCAGATAAAATTAGAGCATCTCAACATACTTCTATTCTTTTGCAAATCTCACATTTTATATTATGATTTCCTTCCCTCAGGTTTGCGTATTCCTTATTTGGCTACCCAGGAGACTGTGCTACTATTCAGCAAAGGAGTAAAGAAGGTTCCAATTGCAGCAGATAAGTAGACTGGAACATCCAATGGAATTTATGTGCTCACCAGATAGATCTATTCTGAGTAGGTATTCTGCAGGGCAGCCTTTCTGGAATGTGTGTATGTGTGCACACACACACCCACACCCACACACACACACACACACACACACACACACACACACACACACACACA